ATGCAAATGAAGCGGGGGGGGATTTAAATCCCCGCTTCATTTGCAATTGCGATATGTCTAATTTGCATCCCTTTTACGAAAAAGGGATGCAGTCTAGACACAGCCCTGCAGTATAAACGTTCCAGTGCGGGCTGTCTCCTGAGCTCTGGGACCCTCCCACCTTGCAAAGTCCTAGATCCTGAGCTCCACCCCAAGCCCAGACATCTTCACTGCCATTAAACAGCCCCTCAGACTGAGCCTGAGTCAGCTGTGATCTCTATTTGCAGTGTAGACGTAGCCAGAGCTCTGGCTCCAGCCCAAGCATGAATGTCTAAGCTGCTATTTTTAGCTCTGCAGTCCAGGCCCCGTGCCCCTGAGTCAGCTGAGCCAGGCTCTGAGACCCTGTGCCAGATTTTCCAGGGAGCACAGACATACCCAGAATGGGCAGCAGCAGGGCCTGCACGGCCAGTGGGCGCAGCCCAGCCCCCCACTGCTGTACTCCAGCATTACAATCCCCGAGGACGCCGCAGCACAGAAAGGTGGGGCCACCTGCCCACGGCCACGTAGAATCAGAGAATACAACCCAGATCTCCTGTCTCCTATTGCTGGGAGTGCAGTACAGCTACTCACCCTTCCTCCCCTCCCATGCCAGCTCCCCTCTCCGCCCTTACACACACAGATCAGCTACCGGGCATCTGGGGAGTTTCTTCGCCCTGTTGTGGGAAGCTGGCCGGTATTTGGAGACTGTCCATGCCCTGCGAGCCGCCTGTAGCCTGCAAAATGTTCCAGGACACCCGCTGCACATAGACGGGCCCTAAGGCTGAGTTACTGCAGTCTGTCTTACCCAATGCTATCAATACCCGGAGACCACTCGGCCATCAGGCGGAGGCACATTGTGCTCCACTTACACACTTTCTGCGTCTAGACTGGCAAGTTTTTCCACAAAAGCAGCTGCTTTTGCGGAAGAACTTGCCAGCTGTCTACACTGGCCGCTTGAATTTCCGCAAGAGCACTGACGATCTCATGTAAGATTGTCAGTGCTCTTCCTCAAATACAACGACTCTCCCGTTCGGGAAAATGCCCTCTTGCGCAAATGCTTTTGCACAAGAGGGCCAGCGTAGACAGCTGAGAACCGTTTTGCGCAAAAAAGCCCTGATGGCAAAAATGGCAATTGGCGCTTTCTTGCACAAAACCGCATCTAGATTGGCACGGATGCTTGTCCGCAAAAAGTGCTTTTGCGCAAAAGCACCCGTGCCAATCTAGATGCTCTTTTCCACAAATGCTTTCAATGGAAAACTTTTCCGTTAAAAGCATTTGCGGAAAATCATGCCAGTCTAGTCGTAGCCAGTGAGTGGTGTTAAGGAGCCCCGCTGGCAACAGGCCAGCAGGTGCGAAGTGAAAGGCATGTGGGGACATTTGCCACCCCTCCTTCGAGCCCTTTCGAAAAAAGGTGTTCTTCCTTGTAAAATGTGGTTTACTTCTGTCGAAAAAAACGCCGCATTCTTTCGATTTAGTTCCGACAGAACGCGACGGCAGGCTAGACGCTGGTGAAGGTTTTACGAAAAAAGGCCATTTAAAAAAAAAAAACCCTGTAGTCTAGACATACCCTGAGAGTCTAGAAGAAAACAGGCCCCCGGCATGCCCTCACACTTGTGGTGTAGTGGCTGATGCATGGGACTGGTTCAGATTTTACAAGGGCTCTGTGGTGACCAAGCCTTATTACAGTGTGACAGCTGATCTCAGTCCAGGTCCTTCCTCAAGCGACTTCTGACACACAAGATCACTCCCCACAACTTGCACCAGTGTTCCCTGAAAGCTGTGCACTGGGGCAGCCACTCGGCAAAGATTCTAGTACCGCCCAGATGATTAGCAGAGCACCCACAGCTGGGTTTGTGTTTCTCCTGGTGGTGCACATTTACACATGATTGGTGCACACAACAAAATTTAGTCTGCACATGGATGGACAAATTAGCAGGACTGGCACCCTTGATCGAGGTCGCAGCTTGCCACAGCATGACCAAATGCAAAGAGTGGAATACCTTCACTCTTTCAAAGGGGTTCAGGGTTAAAGTCTGTTGGTTGGGGCTTAATGAATGAATGAAGCTGATCTGTTTGTTGCCCCTTGTGCTGTAGGTCAGAGGAACAGTCTTGTTCCCAGGGCTGTCAGTCCAGCATTCCACACACTCGTGCTTTGTCGATTTTTAAGTAGCACAAAAGCTTGGCTCTGTTTCATTAAAGCCGCTGTCAACAGGTGCTTCGGGTTCACTGATGGACCAGCTGCCATATGCCCTCTTAGTCACAACGGGCAATTATGTTACTGTACCTGCAAAACATCTGTGGCCTTCCCCTGGCGCTTTGCTTTCTTCTGAGTGGCCTGGCTCCTTTACACAGCTGTGTTGACAGCTGGAACACCCCCAAGTGCTGCATTTTCAGCATAGAAAACTCATTGTTGCCCCCTGCTGGTCAGAAGGGTTATCAAACGCAAAACCTCTGCAGTGACTCAGATTTTCCAAAGAACGAAAGATCTGGTTGCGTGGTTGCCACTAAACAGTTGTTTCAATCTGCTAACTTGGACCTTGTCAGTAAAATTCATTCAGAATACAGGACACGTCTCTGGGAACGACAGCCCGCTTCTGGCTGGGTTTGTCCTTGCTAGAGCACTTCCAGAGCTGCTGAGAAGTGCAGTGGGCCCCTGCAGTCTTGATCTCGTCCCTTCCAAAGCAAAGCATCTCCTTTATTGTCATAGATCACTGAGCCCCGAGGCAAAGGACTAACCCCAAACATATGGAGAGGGGAGAAATGTCTCTGCTTCTGCTTCGTTACACTCGGGACGTACTTAGAAGGTTTTCTCTGCAACCCTAACAGGTAGAGACGTTTAAAATGAAAACTGGAAGTGGAGAGGCCTGTGTGTGTCACCCTATGGTTAGTCTTTCAGCCATCCCCTCGGGCGTGCACCCTTCTCTTTGGGTGTGTCTACACTGCATCCAGAGCTCGAAAAAAGCTACGCAATTTGAGCTATCCAAATTGCGTAGCTTATTTTGAGTCAATTTCAAAAGAGCTTATTTCAAAATTTGGCGCTGTCTGCATAGTAGTTATTATATATATAGTAGCCCAGTGTCTGTGCGTCTGTAATGCTGACGTACACGGCCACGCCCCCTGGCCGTGTATGTCAGCACCCTGCCCCCCCCCCCCCC